TATTTTAAGCTTGCTCATGCATCTAGTTATTGGTCTTATTAGGTTCAAATATATTCTGATTAGTAATTATTTCTTCATGAATGTTGCTGATTGTGCTCCTTTTAGAGGGGAAGAAGAATAAAAGAGACACTCATCAAAACTTTCCATGTTTACTTCATCAGGTCACTCGAATTATGGGAGTTGAAGCTGATTGTCCATATGAAATTCTGGGAACAAACAGAAATATGTCTGCTGATAATATAAAGAAAAAGTGAGCTTTTCCTCCCATACTATCCTTTTTGAATCTTTCTTCCAAATTTGAACTAAATGCAACCTAAACAGAAATTTGCAATGAGTACAAGATATTTTGGTATCAGTGTTTATTGTGTACAAACTCTGTTTTTATTGCCCTAGAATTTCATTTCAGATTTCCATCATTATCTTAATTTAACGAAACCAAGGTTTGATAGATTAACTGAATTTCTTATCATAGAATAATTGATTTTGGATTGTAAGATTCTTGTGACAAACATATATTTGCTAATTGACAACCATGAAACTTAGGTTGATCCTGTAGTAAATTGCAACAAAGAACTGGACAAAGGATGATCATTAAAAGTTGATACGAGGAGATTGTGAGGACCCAACTAATAATGGTTAGGTTTGTTAGAAATAATCAGTTAAGTTATTTTGATTAGTTAAAAATTAGTTTCAATTAATTACTTTTCAGCTATAAAAGGTAGAGTTGAGAATGGATTTGTATCCAGAATATATAAATGAAATTTCAAACTTCTCTCTGAACAATTCCTCTTTTCTCTTGGTCTCCCTTACTCTTTCTCCTCCCTAAATTTAATTATGCTCTCATTCTCTTCTAAATTCTTTTCTGTTTCTTTTTCAATTCTTCTTCCTTTATTTCTTCACAAGCCAGGACAGGTTCTTGATAGAATCTTTGACTAAACAGTCTTTTACTTAATTTGGGAGAGTTTCCCATTTAGTTTTCCTTTTTATGTTCTGTAAATGTTATTGTTAATATTTTGTTTTAAACGATTGTCCTGCTGTTATCTGGAATGAAATAAACAGGTCATTTGGCTTTACTGCATTCAGTCAGAATTTGGTTTCACTCTGTTTACACAGTAGATAAGTGGGTCTAGGTTCATCTGTTTTACCAACTTCTACTCCAATTCTGTTAATCCCTATCAGATAATTAAGGGAAGAAAAGTAAATCAAACTGGAAACAAAACTAAGATTTAGGGAGCAATTGAAGTTGCTTAAATTATCTTATACAAAGCTGCCTACCAGGATCTTGGGCAGTTGGTTACGAATCTGACTTTCCCTGGCACTGCCAGCAAATGCCCTCAGAAGCTAAGTGAAATTATTCTAGGCCTGTGGATGTGGTGTATGGACTGCAGATGCATGCAACTAATTCTGAAAGCACCTGGTTCACATCTAACTTTTATAAAAAGTTTTTTCCCTTCTATTTGGCTTATCTACTATGATAATAATCTCTTATAAATGAGATTTCTTGAACTTTTGTTCTATTTCATGTATCAGGCTAAAAACTCAGATGTGCCTTTATGAGCTGTACAGTTCACTTGGTTCTGACAGATATTTTTAAAAAGTCAACATGAGGCCCTTTCTTCTGCAATTCAAGCAGTGGCTAAGATGGTTTAATAAATGAACTTGTTTTTGTGTGTATGCGTATGTTCTAATTGTTCGTTTGATGACATATGGGAGAGGAGCATGGTGTTTTTAGCTCCTCTTTGAGCTAAGTCTGTGGTTTCTTTAGGGAATATCTTTATCCACGCCACAGATGGATTGGGTTGCTTTTTTGTAGTAATGAAACTTTTTTGTTACCTTTCTCTGGAGGATAGCTTATCCTTCTGAATTTGTAGATCTTTACAAATATTTCTTCTGTTATATAAAAAAATCATTATTTTTTACTTTTGCAAACTTCTGTTCTATATATAACTTGCTAATGATATTCAATGGTTTCCATTAGATATTGGAAGTTGTCTCTTTTGGTGCATCCAGATAAATGCTCTCATCCTCAGGCCCACCAAGCATTTATTTTGTTGAATAAAGCTTTCAAAGAACTACAAGATCCAGATAGGGTGAGTCTCATGGAATGTCTTATGACTAAGATAATTGTGCTTTTTGTGCATTTCATCTCATCGTTTTGTCAAATATGTTTATGATTCATTTTTAAGAATTATCATTATTTGATTAATGTAGATAATGTGCTTCTCGTCTCTCTGTGTGGAGTATACTAAGTATAAGAAATATATCTATGGTGCTCTATTTGTCCAAAAAGAATAATCTATGATGTTTTGCCTTCTCATGCTTTCCTTACATATTTGAAAAACATTACTACTCATGTAAAAAGATGGCAGTAAAATAGATTTCTACTGATATAGATCAAATTAGTTCCACTAACTGCACACTTTTAAAATGCAATTTTGTGATGAGAAATATGGTTAACATCATCGATAGCAAACTCTGGCCCTTAAATTTTTAATTTATGGGACTTTGCCCTATCTCATTAGATCACTACTGTTTTACCATCAGTTCCACATTGGCGTTGTTGCGATTTTATCTGTTTGTATATCTAGTTTGATATTTGAAAATTGTTTTGTGTGTTATAAATGGTTCTGAAGTATTTCTCCTAATGGCATCTGGTTGTTGCAGCGAAAAGCATTGGATGAGAAAATTAAGCTCAAGGAAGAACAAGAGGAATTTAAGGTCTTGCTTCTGCTAAAATATTCTAAAGACAGTTAGCAAAGTTATTTGGTGGTAACCAACTTGTTTGACAATGCAAATTTCCTGTAGGCTGAGTTGCAAGCAATGCAAGAAGCTGCAAAATGGAGAAGATTGCAAGGTGAGGCATTTTGTATAGAAAGGGCGCTCTCTTGTCTCACTTTCCCTTTGCATACACACGTAAGGACACAATAATCAGGTTTCCTAATTGATGTGCCTTCAGTTTTCATGGTTTACTTTGATGTTCCAGGACATATGTTATGTTCTCAAGACCAAGATCTTATCATTGGGCAGTTCTTTGGAATTTCTGGTTCCAGAATCTGTTTTTTCTCCTTATTGTGATTTTTTTTAGCAACTTATTTTGTGAAAATAAATTACGACTCATCAAATGGAGTTGTTACCTTGAGTCTCGTTATAGAGATCTTCAATATCGTGGTTAAAAATAATATTCTGATGTGTATTTATTAATAGCAAACATATCCTTTTATATGAAAGTTACAATTTTTATTTAGAAATATTTTACTAAAATATTGGAAATCCTATACTATTTAATAATTCAATATTAATGAAATATTATATGTTATTTAGGAATCAAATACTAATTAGAATTCCATGTTTACTATTTAGGAATTTAATACTAATTAAAATTTTATATTTAATTGAACTCCAATCTCTTATTTAGATCTTATAAATGTGTTCATAACATTATGCTTCCTCGAGTCTTTAAACTTGTTCTCAAGTTTGAAATGTGGATATTGTCGGTCTTTTCTTGTTACTCATGACTGGTGTCGCGTTCAATCTCGAGCCAGAACAGCTGTTTACATTGGTGATCTTGAACAAACGGCTCATCGCAGTCATAACACAACCTCTTCAGCCTACTTTATGTCATTCCTACGTTTGTTAGTTTTTTTATAAATGAAGTGGAACCATTATCGGATTGTGTCGTAACATTGCTGCCCCGTGGAGTCTGTATTTTCTGAACTAAATTGGTAGACTTATTCACGAACTGAGAAGAGCCACTATAATTGTGTTTAGTTATAACTGACAACTGTTGTTTTATTTCAAAAGCTCTGATCGTGCTCATTGCGTGCATAAGAGTAGTGGGTGATTGTATCTTGACTTTTAGATCGAGAGAATCGATCAGTCTTACTGTGAAAAAACTTAAATGTTGATCAACCTGAACGAACTTGTTTGCTATTCTTAGTTTTTTTTAGAGCTACCTTTGGTAGTCCGTAACTAATCATTTCTGTTTCAAGTTTATCAATTCTCCCAACGGGTTACTTCCGGCTGGCAGCTCAAACATCAGAGAATAGTAGGTTTTGAATTAAGTCCAATTGAATCTAGGTTATTTAGATTTTAACTGGTGGTACCAAAGTTACGCCTCTTCAGGTGTATGGAAGACGACCAATCCCATCTTATCCCTTTCCGACATGTGTTGGTTGGTAAAAAAACTTATCACACCAATGCAACCATATTAAACGATCTTCATAACTATCAAACATTGGAAAGTCTAACTTGATGTAGCACGAAACGACTTCGTTACCTATTAATTCCAATTGAATCTAGGTTATTTAGATTTTAACTGGTGGTACCAAAGTTACGCCTCTTCCGGTGTATGGAAGACGGCCAATCCCATCTTATCCCTTTCCGACGTGTTGGTTGGTAAAAAAACTTATCACACCAATGCAACCATATTAAACGATCTTCATAACTATCAAACATTGGAAAGTCTAACTTGATGTAGCACGAAACGACTTCCTTACCTGGATAGTTGTTTACATTCCATGACTGACTTCCGATGTGAAGCGCTTGAGATAGCTATTCCCAGAAGTGGTTGCTACTTACAGTCCTTTTTGATTCTGTTCGTCTGTCATGATTAAAGCTTACCAGTATCTCTTTGAATTGTGAGGATAACTCTTGCAATTGTCTGCTCAATCATTTTTTAATCTCTACGGTTCGTGCCTCGTTTGCGGTCAAGGCTTCCTGGAGCATCAATTGCAGATCTTCTTTTATTGCAGAGTCACTCATTGTGTTAGGTTCTGATATCAATTTGTTATGTTCCTGAGATCAGAATCTTGTCACTGAGCGGTTTTCTGGAATTTCTGGTTCCATAATTTGTTTTCTCCTTGCATCGATTTTTTTAAGTGATCTATTTTATGAAAATAAATTACAGTTCATCAAAGGGAACTGTTATCTTGGACCTTGTTAAAAAGAGCTTCAATATCATAATTTAAAATAATATTTTGAGATGTCTTTATTAATAATAAGTATACTCCTTTATATAGAGGTTATTTAGAAATTTTAAAATAATTAGGAATGTAAATTTAATTAAAAATACTCTGTTAAAATATTGAAAATTCTATACTATTTAGGAATTTAATATTAGCGATAAATCGTATGTTATTTAAGAATATAATACTAATTAAAATTCTATATTTACTATTTAAAAATGTAATACTAATTAAAACTTTATATTTAATTAAATTTCAACCTCTTATTTAGACCCTATAAATGCATGCATCCATAACAACATGCCTCTATCATCTGTTGTTGTTGGGGACTTCAGGTCCTTGACTGTTGATCAACATCCACATTACTATTATTGCCTTTTCTATTGGCAGCAACATTATTTGTTGATTTGAAATAAGCAAGTTCTTGTGCTTGCAGGTATATCAATGGAGGGTGATGATGAACTCCTGGCAACCATGGAAGTTAAAGTGGCACCACAAAGGGATGAATGGATGACAACATTGCCTCCTGAGCGGCAAGTAAGATTTTTACTCTGGCTGTAATCTTGTCATAGTTTGATTATTATCTCTTCATTAGTTGTAGGAAGTAGGCTTTCGAAACTGGACAAACTCCTTGTTCCGGCTACCTCAGTTCCAAGACACTCTCTTCAGTTACTACATTTCCAAGTTAAGCATTTCTCCCTTTGGCAGGAGTGTGATGTCCCATTGAATTAAATTTCCCTCTATCAGCTAATTAGACATGTCCATTGGTAGAAAAGTTCACCATATAAGTTACTTAGAGATGTTCATTTTTAGCCTCTCTTAGGAGGAGATCAAAATCCTGGAATCTAATCCTCTATTGCCTTGGCACCTCAAAACAGGATGCTCTCACCAACCACAGTTCTAGGACACCCCATTTAGTAACTGCAATTTCAAGTTCGTGCAGTTCCCACCTTTGACCAGAGTATTTGTTCCTTTGGAATAAATTCTTCAATATATCAGTTACTAGATATGTTTGTTGATAGAAAATCTCGGCATATAAGTTTATTAGATGTCTTCATTCTTAACCTCTCTTAAGAGGATATGTGAGTTGTGGATCCCCACAAATCCAGGATTCTAATCCCTTTTGCATTCGCACTTCAAGAAAAGCAAATGTTCTGTTAACTTTTTCATTAATGTTGAAAGGGGCTGTTTCACAAGTTTTAACCTCTTGATCTTCTTCTTCTCAGCCTGGTGGTGTCACCACACAGACAACAAAATTTAGCAAGAGTTATAAAGGACGTGGTGATACTAGTGTCTGGACTGATACTCCTTCAGAAAGAGCCCAAAAGGCAAAGATGAAGTAAGATAAGTTTTTGTGTCTTGCATTCAAAAAATTTTTGAGGAAGAGAGAAAGGAGAGATTTTTATTTATGATATTGTTGAATGACAGTTGTGCTCCTCTGTTCTTTTATTTCATCATTTATCTGTTTAATGTGCATTGTTATTTCATGTCAGTTACCTAGAAGCATATAATGAGGCTGCGGCACTTGCTTCCAATGAAGAGGAAAGTAGAAGAAGTTCAGATGCAGATTTGGTGGATAAATATAACAAAGAAAAAAGGTCAAAATCATTGGTCGAAAAACACCAAGAGGAAGCTTCAGGGCGTGCAAAGAAAAAATCAAGACAGCCACCAGAGAAAGAGGAATGGGTAGGGCAGCATCCATGGAAGCCTTGGGATCGTGAGAAGGACCTAGTTGCTGGGAGGCAAAACATAAAATTTGATGCAGAAAGCATGTCTCAAGGCTTGGCTTCTAGGTTTTCATCGGGAAACTTTCAGAGGAACTTCCTTTAGGACAGTTTGTTGAGTTTTGGCATCCTATTTGGATCACGTAGGTGACACTCGTGTATGCTTCTATCGCTTTTCTTGTTCCCACTGTTTTCTTCCCCTTTTTGGCAACAAGACTGGAAGAGGCCTACTCTTCTTTGTATCAAATATAGCATAAGATAGTTTTACAAAAATAAGATTTTTTATTTACAAAAACCTAAAAAGGTGAATTTTTAAAGGTATTTTGTGCTTGTGTAATTTATTTTTTTCATAAAAAATAAATTTAAACTGAAAATTATAATTATTAATTGTTAGGATTATTTTTTATTTTGAAGAATAACAACTGAAAATTATAAGCAAACAGCAGAAGTACTAGTTTATAATTAACTAGATTTGTATTATCTCTAGGGATCTGAACATGTTTATACTAAAAATATTCCAAGCATCTCTAATTATATAATTATAAACTACAATGAAAATAAAGATAATTAGAATTTTTTATTAATATTTGTCTAGTAAATAATTATATTAAAATTAAAAATATTGGATTAAATTACTGAGATTAAAATATATAATTAATTAATTTAATACGATAAAAAATGGATACTAATTTGATATAAATGGTAAAATATATAGATTTTTGTTTCCTTTAATTATTCTAGTGTTAGTAGAAGTGCGTTACATTTAATTGATGATATGAAGTACCTTTTATCTTTATTTTATAAATGTTTGTCTCAACATATGTTATCTTAGATTCAGTACTTGCAGAGTTATATTAAAAATATTTTTCTTTAAATATAAATGCGCATTGATACACCAAACTCTTAAAAATATTAATTAATTCTGTAAAAAGAAATGTATTATAAGAAATAGAAGATAAAAGAATTAATTAAAAAATTGACCTTTTTTGGAGCTTTCATTAATTTCCTCGTAATTTAAAATTAGAAACAAGTAAGCCATTACGTTTAAACAAAGAAAACAGGAAAGAAAACATTTAAGGAATAGGAATGGATTGCAGTGCACTTTTGCAAAGCTAATAAATAATAATTAAGAAAAGAAACCAATTTAGTTTCCCTTTTAGAGCCTTAAGAGGTATTTTCCTTTGCAAGAATGACTCTTCGGTGCTGCTATACGTATGTGTGTGTGTATGTGTGTGTGTGTGTGTGTGTGTGTATAAGAAATATGTAACATATACATTACATTTTCCATATATATATATATATCGTATACAAATACATACGAAACCTTAATCTTCATTAACATAGTTATACATGAATAAAAGTTAGGAAACATATATATGTCATGGCAGCTTAATGGGGAATGGGAAGTTCAGTTTCTATGTATTAAATACATAAATATAAAATAAAATGAAAATAAAGAAAGACTGATCGACTGAAGAAAATTTCAATTTTATAACAGTTAAAACTATGCACTAAATTACTTATTATTCTTTCTTGCTTATTAATATACATACGCGCATATAATATGTATGTATATTATATAAACCAACTAGGATGTTAATCATTTGTCTCCCAAAACAAGCCACCTTGTCTCTCCCTACATAATAATTATATGTACTTTCATCATGTATATAAGACATAGATGGGTTGATGATTGCAGTCTTGCAATTATTTTATGGACACTTTTTGTTATATATACATGTATGCAGTTAGGTAATTAATTCATTTGAAAAATAATTCTAATACATACCTATTTCTTTTTTTTTTTTCTCTTCTAGAATGTTTGTTGTTCTTGTTACTAAAAAAGAATTCATAAAGTACAGTATATAACTCTCTCTCTCTCTCTCTCTATATATATATATATATATGTAGAAATGGACATATATAATTTTATATGTATGATAAGTAGGGTTGAAAAGCACAACTTCCCTGAAGTCCCACAAACCGCCCCCTTATACACCAAAAACATAAAATGAAAAACCACTTACTTGGTTTACACTACTGTTTCCTTGGTTGTTTGATAAAGCAACCTCACCCCCCTTGTCTAAAGTTAGTTAACATATATTTAGGTTCATACATATATATATATATATAATTTGTAGATGCAGAAAACCAGTCATTTGTATATAGGTTCCTGCTGCAATCCTTAACCTTCTTATGCTTGGTTCTTTTCACTTTCAGAAATGGATGGTTTAGGATGTTGACTCAACTCAAAATAAATTTTATTGTTATATGCTTCTATTTTAAAAAATAGTGTACTTTATAATAATATATAAGATCAGCAGCCAAATCTTTCACTGTAAATGTTAGGTTTTAAAGATATTTATTTATAACATATTCAAATGAAATTGATGTGGTACAAGTTTCCATATAAATATTTGGAATATTGTTCTGCTGAAATTTTATTATACAAAAATATCTCATTTATGAACAATGATAGCATTCATTTATAAATAAAGAGTTTTCTCTTAAATCTAATTGATATACATACATATATATATATATATATATTATATGACGATAAATCTTTTGTATATTAATATGCAATCCCTATTGAAAGTAATCTATATGGCAAGTATAGCTCTCTAAGCTATAGGTTTATGAAAAAATAATAGATAATCAGATCTCTATTGATGATTAAAATTTTCTAAATCTAACTCTCAATTATTTAGCAAGAAATGCAAAGAAAATATTAGGTTTTGAACTTATTTGAAGAGAAATGTGGTGAGATAGCAAAAACCTAATCGTTGTTCTGCCGACTACTTTTGATTTTTTGAACGAAAGAATAAGTGAACAAAAAGACATTAAGCTATTTATACTCTAGCAAAATGCCCCACGACAAAATTATAAAGGCTCGGAACTTAAATAAAAATAAATTCATAATTAAATACGGAAGCGAAATAGTAGAGTTAAAGTTTACATTTCTTACACAATAATTTAGGATGCCCAATAAGGATATGAGAATGTCTACTCTAAAAAACAAACGAACATTAAAGAAATAAACGAAAAACAAATAACTGAACATTGTAGAACGACCTTCACTAGCTTTTGTAGGGAGTCCGGGTGGTGAGTTATTCACAATTCTCTTGTTGATCGGGACATGGATCTTGATCCTCTTGATCTGAAATAGTTAATGAAAGTATGAATTACACTAATCTAGTAAGAATATCACACTAATCACAGATACGAAAAACTAAAGATTGGTAAAAATAAGAAAAATAACCAACGAATCTCTTAATTTAATATAAATTTATTTACTATAAAGAAGGTCATTTATTCCATATTTAAGTAACAAATTTTTCTAAAAATAATATATGAAAATCCATATTCATACACTTTTTATTATCACATATAAGATAACAAGAAATGATCACTTTTCATTTTTACCCGCTTACCAGTACTCCTGGGGGTTTATAGGGATGTCCTTCTACTCGTGAACCCAATATTCAATTAAATAATTAACTGACCGTCCCCATACCTCGTCCGGTAATGGGTGCCTAACATTCTATCACCTCGATACCCTGTCCGGTATCAAGGTGAACCATATCTCCCAAACCTTACTGGTAAGGGATTTCTTAACTTTGTCCGATTGAGGTAACGTTCATGATAGGGTTCCCTATGTACCGAGCCCGTCCGCCATTTCTCGAGTACCTAGTAAGTCTTTCCCATACAAATTTCTATCAGTATAAGAATCAACTACGCAATATCCATATCTCATTTTATACTCACAGTTCACTTAAACAAATAATATAGTTTAACACAGCCAAATAATCAATGATTGGAATACCGACAAACAATGTAGAGGAAGCAAATAACCAAATAACCAAAAAGACCCTAAAAACTAGCAATTCAGTTACGCACAGTATAATAGTAAACAAATATAGACAATACAGAAAAATAAATAGGAAATCGAAACGATCGTGAACTAACTGGTTCCAACTCCACTAGTGACCTGTAATTATTTTTAAGGTTCTTTAATTTTTCGTAAAAACACACAATTATCGATTATTAAGCCTCAATTTGCCGTAATGGACAAAAAATAGTGAGGGATCCTTACCTGGATCAGTATTTCGGGACACCGCACTGTCTACTACGCTTCCTAATGGGTATTAGATTTCTTGAATTATCCATACAGAATCTAAAATACTTGTCACGTACCTAAAAATACCATAGAAGTCTAAAATTAGCGTCCAAAACTTATTATAGCCAATTTTGGAGTTCTGGCACAGCGCCGGTTTCACTGCCCATGGTGACAGTTCGCCTCGGCCTAGCTGGTTTTGGCTGGTTTTACTGATTTTAGGCAGTTTTTGGCTGTATCCCTATAAAAAAATACATCAGAGGCCTCGGTTGGCTGGAAAATCACAGAAAACCGAACTTACCGGTGTGGGGGGACCTCCGGATATGGCGGCTCCACCGGTTCTCCTTTGTTGTTGAGGTTCTTTGTTCGGCCAATCTACACAGAAAAGGACGGTGAACACAATAATTAAAAAATTACATAAAACGAAAATCGGGAAGGGGCTCATCGGTGGGGTTTTGGGACTTTTGCCGCGGCGGCTCTGCCGGGCTTCGCTCGCGATTTCTGACTACCTGCCGTCCTTTTTGCTCCGATTTAGCCATGAGGGTACTCAGAATCAAATTCTGAGCGAGTAGGATAAGTTTTTACTTTTTTTGGCGGTCGACAGTGGCTCCAGTGCGACGGTGGTCGGTGGTCGGCCTCTTTATCTGGCGTCTAATTTTTCTTCTTTGGTGGGGCTGGCAGCTAGGGTTTGGATTCCCGTGTGATGTGAGATATTTATATTCATCTTGCTTTAATTTGGACCGTCCATCACGATCGATCTCGTCCGTCCGATCGCACCTAAAGATGAAATAAATCTGAATCGTCAATCACGATTTGATCTCGACAGTCGATCGCATTTAAAGAAAAAATAAATCTGAACCGTCCATCGCGATTTGATCTCAATTGTTCACTCGCGTTTAAAAAGAGAATAAATTCGGGCCCTCCACGCGTGCGGGATCGATCTTGGGCCATTCGATTGCAGGGTACACAAATCACCTGTGTAACATCTTGCATGGCATCGTTGTCAGCGTGCCTTGCCACACGGTGTGCTCCGGTTCGTCAGAGTTACTGATTGGGCAGTC